GAAAACGCTTCTTATCTCGCGCCGCTATTTCGCCTTTTGACCCCTGTGACGTTATCTTTGACCTGACCTTAAAATGACATCAGTAAAAATTGTATACCTTGTCCGTCCATATCTTATGTCGTTTACTGCTTGTCGCGCTATATCTTGCTTCGTTCTCGAGATATCAGGGTGCGGTTATCCGCCCCCCCCCCCCCGCCCCGTCGCGTCAGTGCAAAGTTGGCGCGGATACCCGTCGGTGCGCGGGCTAATTAATAATTGGGTCATTGATGTAGTGCAGTACACTATAAAAGTTAGGGATGTAGTGCGGTACAGTTATTAGTTAACCACTTACCAGTCAGTGATGTAGATTGTAGTGCGGTACAGTATACCAGTCAGGGATGTAGTGCGGTACAGTATACCAGTCAGGGATGTAGTGCGGTACAGTATACCAGAGATCTAGTGCGGTACAGTATTCCAGTCAGAGTTGTAGTGTTGTGGAATTATATGCATTTATGCGACATCTCTCAGTTTTCGGCGCCACGTTGTATCATAACGACGGAGTCATGCTCAATTTGTGATAATCAATAGATGCAGGCCAAACTTACTTGAGAATCCAGCAGATCCACTTTTTGATGATAGCCTCCTCCGCTTGTTCGATGGGTCCACGAAATCGGCTGTATAGACTGGCCAAGACACCCTTTTTAGGAGCCATGTCACACACTTTTCACCAAGCACGCTGCATGTAATTTTGCCGTCAGCTCCCGCTCTGTTTCCTAAAAGCTTTTACACCTTCATTGTCAAGTTGTTTACATTCGCATCATAAGGTCTTAGACAGACACAGTTGATTGGAAATGGCGTATACGATTATTACTTTACCCGCGTTTCACCACGTGGAACCGTCACTGTCACCCTGTAGAGTTGACACTAACACTCGCAGTTTTACACCAACACTCGCAGAGTTTACATCAACACTCGCAGTGGTGATGCCTCCACTCGCAGACACCGATGCCGTCAACACACTCGGTGTTTATGCCCTGAGATGCACCGTGGGTAGCAACAGTCTTGCGGGCACTTCCTTGTCTTCGTTTGAAGTAAGCAACAGTAAAATTGTTAGTCAGATGAATATTCTAGCCTGGCAGCTTCTGACACCGGCCTTAGCCTTGGCTTTAGCTCTCTACTTTCAATCTGACTCGCTGAGCAGTGGAGTTCACGAACGGACTTACAGAAAGGACGCTTGTCAACAACAAACAACCACAATTTCTGCGATATGCAGCCTCCGAGCCTCAGCAAACGTCACCGACTCAAATCACGCTGCGGTATTCAGTGCTTTTACACCGTTTCCGTTAAACGACCGCAGCTCAGCATGTAGGGTAGGTGATCAAACACTTTTCGCTTCAACAATATCTCAGCTCGGTCAGGCGATGTTTCTGTTCAGCAGCCGGTCAGCAGAGCGCAGCCAGGCGGTCAGCAAGGCGGTCAGCGGTGGCACTGAGCCAGCCAGCAGTCGGTCAGCAGGGCGGCGGTCAGCAGGGCGGCGGTCAGCAGGTCAGCCCGTCAGCAGGTCAGCTGCTCAGCCGGTCAGCAGACGCTGTAGACCTCCTGTCCGCGGCTGCGACACTCCTCCACCAGACAGTCGGCGATCATACAGGCTGCGACGACGGCGACGACGAGCAGCAGGCCGAGCGCAGCCAGGGCGGCGTCCATCCTGGGCGGGCTGACCGGGCGGCGCGCGACTGGCGCGGCCTCAGAGAGCCGAGCCGGGCGCGCAGCGGCGGCTGCAGCTGTAGGCACGTCTCCACCCACAGCTGTGGTGGACCCGGCCGGTCCTCACACACACACACAGACAGACATACAGACATACAGAGATTCACACATAGACATACACACAGACAGGCAGACAGACAGACAGACAGACAGACAGACAGACAGACAGACAGACAGACAGACAGACAGACAGACAGACAGACAGACAGACAGACAGACAGACAGACAGACAGACAGACAGAACAGACAGACAGAACAGACAGACAGACAAAGATTCACACACAGATATACACACAGACAGACAGACACACAGACAGACACACAGAGATTCACGCACATATATGCGATGTATGCACAAGCACATTGCATGCAGACAGGCACACTGACAGACACAGGGATTCTCTACAATCTAAAGCTAGTCGGTACTGCTGCCGGACCAATCCAGTTACGACAGCCAGGGTCAGTGGGTATATACAGGGTGAGCCATAAAGCTTTACCCATCGAAATGGGATTATGGGTACCGTACCATGCATCCCTGTACAGGGCATGCGGTCAGGATCTAAGGTTTTACTGACGGAAACGCATACGTTTATTTCATTATGAATTCTTTCGAATATGCACCTCTCTTAACCGAAGAAAGAAAACTGAGGACTTCTGGCTTCTGCTTCAATCCATAGGACTGTGCTTTTGACTGATTTGACACCTTATTCATTGACAGTTCTTGTTCGTTGCGTTTGAGCTCGATATAACTAAGTACTGATGCAGTTTTTAATAAGTTAATGTAAAGGTAGCAGTTTTGTATTGCATTTCTGATTCTTGAATTATGCAGTTATGACTTATGCCTAATAAGTGGGCAGAGTAGGTAAGTACTTCGGTATCGTAAAAAGCAACGCTGATCTCGATAACCTATTAAATAACGAGAAGGACGCTCGGCTCGCCCTCTCTCCCTGCTGTATTCAGGGGTAGGAGATAATTAGTGGCCACTGGCCCTTACCGACAGATGACCCTGATTCATTTGAGGTAATACCTATTTGTCATAACGTTCTTATTCTTCTTTTCTCGCCTAATTTTATTCGTCTCCCCTAGATGGCACCAGTGATTAACGCCTGACGCATATGCTGTGCCGCATAGCTCCAAGCCGCGCGCGCGCCTGAGGAACGCGTGGGACTGGGGAGTTCCCGCGTGTGAAGAGAATACGCCGGGTTAGCGGGCAACTGGTGGCGATATAGGGAGTAGTGGCGTGGCTGGTAAGTACAATGCCGTCTTTATATCCTGTGGTATGTGAAAGGACAGTTCCCCGATCACCAGAGTGCAGGCAGCTGAATGTCTTCATCGTATATGGCGTCATGCGTATTAGCCCTCGGCGGTCCTCCCCAGAGTAGGCATATAGAAACAACGTCTTGCCTGCCTGGCAGAGTGCCAACGTGACGCTCGAATGAGGGCCCGTGGAGCGTACTTTTCGTCAGCGGCTCCGCGACCGGCGTGTCTAAACTAGTCAGCTTCGTCCTTGTTGATCAACATGAGGTTGATGCTCGTCGCGATGAGTCACCGTCAGTGAGATGGCGGCATTGCCATAGCTGAATTGTCTGATGGCTCTCAGCGTCAGCCGTCCCGCATTTACAATATCTGCACATAAGTAGTAGGTATATTGACATATTGAGTGTGGCACTTGTGTTATACCTACGGACTGCATTTTTTAAAGTTAAAGTATTTTCCTTAGCAGAGAGACGAGAGTGCCGCGATTTATTTGTTTACTTTTGTAAGTGTTAGCGTAAGGTTTTGCTGGTCGCTGGATTTGGGTGCAGGCTCTCCTGGTCACCAGATCATGGGTAGCGGAGCAGTTTGAATTAAGTTATTTAATTGGAGCGGCGGTACTTTTATGAACTTGTGGCATCAGCGACAGCCTACCTACAATGCGCGATTCTGATAGTGGCTTATTACAGTCACATATGATAGTGAATTCGACTCCGACTCAACGATTCGACAATGCCGCGCGGGGAGCGGTGTCTCCTTCTCGTGCCATCGGTTACATGATTCCCGGGCACATGATACCCAGAGTACAGTCCCTAGTGCGACAACCACACTGCAGTAATCGGATCCGATAGCGAACGGACAACCGACGATCGACGCCTATCGCCGCTGACGGAGCTCCGAGTCTGGGCGGTTCTGTCTGTCCGACGGGACGGTTCCGTCTGTCGAGACGGCCATATCCGTGTGTCGATACGGGTCCATGTGTTGGGACGGGTTCGTCCGACGGTGCTGTACTGGCGACTGGTAGGGCGGGTGTTGACGGTGACACACGCCGTTCTCGAACTTCCACCGCCGGACGCGCTTCCTATTCTCCCAATACCGCCGGCCCGGGCCGCCGGGGCGCGGGGGAGGGCGGGGATTCCTTCTCCAGTTGCAGACACCACCACCGGATCGGTTTTAAACGGGACCAGAGTCACCCCCGGATCAGAAGGCTGTCGGGGTCGTGCCGGGCTCGAGCTGCGCCAGCCGCGGGCCTCAGAAGCGCTACGCTCGTGTCGTTTTGGGCCGGTCACCGCTGCGTCAGAAGTCTGCAAGGGCCGCTGCACTTCTGAAGAGGACAGCCGTTGGGGACAGGACGGGAGTGAGGATTTAGCTCTCGGTGAGGTGGGGACGCAATAAGCGACCGTGTTTTTATTCTAATCAAATTACAGTACATGTTGTCTGCTGTCAACCTTCCTTTATGGCGCCGTCTTTAGAGATAATCATTTGTGATATCTGTTGTGAACGTCTTTAGCTCGTAATTTACCCTGTATGTAGATGGTCTCACAAGGCGTTATAAACGACTTAGTTTGCTTTGAGCCCAATGCATTTATATTTTACTCTTCTGGTTTAAAGGGTCGGCACGATATACATGCGTTATGCTTAATTCATTGGTCCGAGATTCTTGGGAACTGTGAATCATACCTAAATTAATGTAGACATTCCTTTGTAATTCAGTGCTGTTAATTGGGACACTATAAACCTCGTGTTTCTCTACAAACAAAACGAGTTCGGACGCGTCTCGTCTCTGGCAGGTGTAAGTGTCTCATGTCAGTGTCACCGGAATGCAGCTGGTATCGAGAGGCCCTCATTGCCGCATCATGTTGACCGTCTCAAGGGCAGGGCAGGTCCCCTAACCCGGCCCGGGTGGTTGCGCCATGTTGTGGGGACGGAGCTCGTACCTATGTATATCAGCTGTCTGTCCCCTGCAGTCAGCAGACGGACGGCCGGTAGTGCCGACAACAGCCATGGCTCGGCTCGGTACGGCGCTGGTGCCGCTGCTGGTGCTGCTGGTGCCTCTGGTGCCAGCGCTGGCCGACCGGTGCCCCGGCGGAGAGCTGGCCTGCCCGGAGCCCAGCGTCTGCTGCCGTACCGACTCTCCCCAGCAGCCCTTCATCTGCTGTCCCTATCGGAACGGCGTCTGCTGCGGCGACGGGCGGCACTGCTGCCGAGAAGGTGGGTACGACACATACGCGTACCCACGGCACACGTCACCGCTCAGTGCGCAGTCGCACAAACGAAGTTACCAGACGTTTACTCAGTTTATTAGAAAAAGATCCACGCAAAACGAGGCTCTTTCACGTCAATCAATAAAACGGCGACAATGATGGTGTAGGACAAGCAATCACTAACTCAGCTCACAATACCTCACGCACGCATACGCATGTAAAAGCATACATTCCTTTCTAAGAAAGAATGCACAGTCAGGCAACGTTTGCAGGGTTTACTGGACCTGAGCTGACTGGCAGCTGGTTATGTCCCCACCGTTGACCCGACCTAGTCAGTTGACGTGATCCCATCGGCGCTCAGTTCACATGTGACCTGATCTTCACAGGGTTCACGTGTAGCTTGACCACCTACCGACGACCTGGTATCGACCTGACCTGACCTACCTGCAATTCACCACTGCTCCGACCACCAACCGGTGACCTGACCTGATCTTCTTGCGCAAGGTTCACGTGTGACCTGACCTGACCTCACTGCGCAGGGTTCACGTGTGACCTGACCTTCGTGCGCAGGGTTCACGTGTGACCTGACTTGACTTGACCTGCTTGGGATTCTCGTGTGACCTGACATTGGCCTGACCTTCCTGCACAGGGTTCACGTGCGACCTGCTTTGACCTTTCTGGGCAGGGTTCACGTGTGACCTGACCCGACCTTTCTGTGCAGGGTTCTGCGCAGGGTTCTGACCTGACCTGACTTGACCTGCTTGGGATTCACGTGTGACCTGACATTGACCTGACCTCACTGCGCAGGTTTCACGTGCGACCTGTCGACCAGCCGATGCGTGAAGCAGCCGCCGGAGCCGGGCCTGTGTCCGGACGGCAAGAGCCGGTGTCCGGCGGGCGCCACGTGCTGTCCGCTGGCTGACCACCGCTGGGGCTGCTGTCCGTACGCGCGCGCCGTCTGCTGCTCGGACAAGGTGCACTGCTGTCCCGAGGGCACTCAGTGTGACCTGCAGACACTCACCTGTCTGAAGGTCAGTGGTAGTTAGGGACGGGTGCGTATGTTAGGGACTCTGTCAGCTCGCCGATACAGCGCTACCCACATGAACTTGAAGCTAACTATTATTTGATATGGTACCATGAACCGTCCACTTGGCTGGTAAGCTGTGATTCTTGTCCAACTTTGATGGTTTCTTATTTGCTTTTGCAAGCTGGAAAACAATGTGCGTTTAACAGCAATGCTATTTATCTGGGCGGTAGAAATCCTCTGAGAAAATATTGAACGTCGTAACCCTTGTAACCGCAGGCTGTTTGAAATAGACAAGCACAATTCGTACGTAGTGAAGTGTCGTCGAATTCTTGCTGTAATGTTGTGAATTTTTCAAGAGATGCAGATACTAACATTTTGCATTTCTGTTCCAGAAATCGGAGCATCCGATGATGCAGTTCGCTGAAACGGATATGAAAGGCACGGAGGGACACATTGGTCTCCATGCCTGAGATCTTCAGTGAATGAAAAGTCCGGTGCTGCTCATCCCAAGTTTATAAAAGTCGCCAAGTCGAGCAGGGACACTGCCTGGCATTTGCACCCCTGTAGGTCAATACCTACGACTGTTAAACGCAATCGGGGACCAAGACGCGTTAAAGGGACCCTCCCACCTTAACATTAGTTTTGAGTTGAGATAGCCAAAATTGCGGCCAGGCTCAGAAACCACCATTTATCCTGGTCGCAACCCCCGCAGCTTTATGGTGTTCAAGAAATTTCTTCCCTTTACTTGCAGGGTGGGACCAGCGTGGTCCCTATCTCTTAACCATTACGGGAATCTGATGACGTCATCAGGCTTTCGAACGTCAGTTAAATGTTTGACTAAAACGTTTTGTAGCACGCGGTGGTATATGCTGCTTTGAGCGCAACAAATGCCGCACTTTCAAATAAAGTTGCTAGGAACAGCGGAGATCCCAAAAAGTAAACAAAAGTAAAAGTCTAATATCTTTAAAACCGGTGAATATTTTTCGATGAAATTTGGTAGATATTCGTTTTTGCGCTTTCTGAACCGAGCGACATCACTTTCATGCCAATTCATTAACTTTTTTGAAGGTGGGAGGGTCCCTTTAAAGGGACTATCCCACCTTCTAAAATGTTGTTAAAACCAGTTAAATTGTGCCCGACTTTATAGATTGGATGACCAGGAACACGGTTCTGGCATTTATTTTTCATTAAACATCTTAGGCTTCCCATATTCCAAACACAAACTTTCAAATATGTGACGTCACAGCCCAAAATTACCTCCTTCCCCAGGCCACATTACTGTCATGAAGCTGATTCTTTTTACTCTGTAGGCACCACAACAAAGTTCAGACCAAGTTTTAAGCGATTTTTCAACGAACAAACCCATTTAAATCAGAATGACCAAACGAGGTGACGTCACACTAACGGTCGCTCCATGTTGAAGATAGGGCCTTGCACAAGGCCCATTTTCAAATGAAGGGAACGAATTTCTTCAACACCAAGAGGCCGCGGGGTTGCAACCTAGATAGATAGTGGTTTCTGAACCTCGCCTCAAACTTGGCTATCTCAACTCAAACCCCATGTTAAAGGTGGGATAGTCCCTTTAACCAAGCTTTCGGGTGTCGTTATGTGTTTTCAGTTCAGAGACCCTTCTTGGTGAAGCCAGCGCGATAAGTCAAAGGCGGAGTTATCTGATTATCGCCGTTCCCATTGTAACCCAGAAGTGATTTAGATCACTGAGGGCTATTGCGGGGGCTGGGGGCATTGACGACCAGTGAGGGCTAGGGCCAGTAAGAATGAACCAATGTCTCTGTACGGAGTATCGTTTTGGCTCTTTGTGCATGTCTTCCATGTTATTGTATCCAGGCGCAGCCGCTTTGTTTTGACTGGAAGTCCTTGCATATCGCTTTTACCATGATATACACCAGAAATGCGTAATTTGTTTCGTTCGTCTTTCGAAGATACCGGTTCAGTGTACACCCGCCTCTGTGGTGTCGAGACTACCAACAAGCAAAACATCAGCTACCATGCGCTCTAACAACCCGAAACGATGGCGCTCACATCATTACACCGTATATTATGTGTCACAGGAACAGGGGCGGCATGTCACCTCCGCCGGCCCCCTCCCCCTCCCCCCTGCCTCCCGTCCGTCCATATAGACTCGGCGCAGCAGAGACGGCGCCGCACGTATGGCGAACAGCGCTGGAAGAGCCGCGGCCGCGCAGGTCCCCGGCACCGCCTGAGATTCGAGCGGGTGGCCGCCGCGCTCCGCACCACACCCAGACACATACACACACACGTCCGTATCACAGCTGCTGAGGGGCCTCCGCGCAGGGGCGCCCTCGGCTCGGTAGTAGCTGCACCAGACCGACAGAAGATCGCCCACGAACGCGCGCGCACGCCAGTGGCAGTAGTTTGACCCGGCCCTCCGCCGAACGTCACCTCCGGCCTCAGTACAGCCAGCGAGCCGTCCACAATACAGTAAAAATACAATACAATACCATAAAATAACAACCCTAAGGACGGTCAGGTCAGGAGAGCACGAATAAAATACGAAAAACAAAGTCCCCAGGGTGGTTCGTAGTCTGTGGAAGTCAAGTCTTCACAGACCGATTGCATTTTCCCGCGCAGTTTGCGGAGATCGTCGACGATTTGACCGCGCACTATCACAACCGGAGCGGCCGCCAAGGGCCTCAGACACACAGTACAGACAGACACGGAATGTTGACCCGGCCGGTCGTGACGCCGCGCACCCGTTGTCGTGACGACCGGCGGCAGGCGGCGGTCAGTTTTCCGGCAGGCCCAGCGCGAGATATTGCTGGTGCAGCCGCTGCTTGCAGAACTCGTAAAACTCGATCTCGTGCGTGAAGTTTTTCCGGACAATGTCTTTGACGTATTCGGCGACAGGCGGCTTGTAGCTGTTCTTGTTCACATTGCTCAGCCTTTTCTCCTCTGAAACAAATGGTGCACATCAGGTCAGAACGTGTGACTTGCGACATGGTGTAACGAATAATGAAGTCGTAATATGCACGAGGCTGTTTATTATACTATGGAGTGGACGCTTGAAGCAATATAGATATGCACATTACAGTAGCTGAGCAAAGTAAAACTATAAAAAATCATTTCACCAACGGCGAGCAGTGACGTGCAGTGTTTTGTCACACGACAAGACAATCTAGCTTGAAACAAGCCGTCGTGTTTAGCCCGATATACGGCGCAAAAGTCCATCACTCGTCACTTACCCTGGTAGATATCTGATGCGCCGGCGAAGAACCGTGGAATGTAGTGCTCCAGCACGGTCAGCGTCTTGTTCATCTCCTCCAGCACACCCACGACGGCGTAGTACTTCTCCACGTTCCGCTTGGCCTTCTGCATGGCCACCTCCGAGTTGAAGGCGCTGACGGAGCGGGCGTCGAGGTCAGACGAGGGACCGAAGGCGAAACGGGACATTGTGATTAAGCTGCCTGACGAATACAATCTGGACTCTTGAAAACCAGAAATTCTAAATACTTTGTCATGAGCTTTAAAGCCATGTTTTATTCTCTTTAAGTAGCAATAACGTCTGTCACAAGCTGTTTCCCTCTGAAGTCTGACAAATAAACGGTTTTAGACTGAATGATCGGTGAACTGCTTACAGTTGATGTCGGTTCGCGCGTTGCGAGTCTGTAATAGCGAGGATACGACATGCAACACTCATTTAGTGCAAACATAAAGGTGCCTTCTGCATGTTTGGCAAAATGTGTGATGACTACCTACTAAAGTTCTCATTGGATAGCGAAAACAGAACACGTGTCCACCGTGCACTGTGCTGTGCCCATTGTCTGCGGAGTGCGGGGTCGGCGAGGGACTTTTTGGGGGTCGGGAGATGTTACACAGGACAAAATGAACACCCGGGCAGCGAAAATCCTAGCTGTAAATCCCCGAGTAAAAGTTACAAGGCTGTCTGCCGAGTGCCCCGGATTAGTTCCGGAACTGGCCACCAGATGTCAGTCGCGGCGCGTCACTCACGAGCAGTCCTCCTCCATGCCGCAGAAGAAGCCGGTCATGCGCCGGTGGTCGCCCACGCGGTCCTTCTTGTCGCCCTCGATGTAGCGGCACTCCCAGTCGTTGCTCAGCACGCACTGTTCGTAATCCTGCGGAGCCCACAGCAGTGGCGGTGATCGACCGCAGCGCCGCCAAGCGAACCGGCGCCGAAACACAGACTCCCCGCCAGGCAGCGCTAGTGCGACCGCTGGACGGAGGACAGAGGACGGGGGGTGGCTGGGAGGAGGTGGGCGGGGCGGGACAGGAGAGGAGGTAGGTCACCGAGCTGTCTTGATTTCGGAAACTGTCTACGTGAGTGCTATGTCCACAAAAAGCGAGCGAAAGAAAAGAAGCGAGAGCAGAAAAGAAACAGCTGATTGTTACGGCCAGCTGAAGAGTTCTAACGATTGGTGCGACCCCACGCAACTGGCTGAGGCCAGCAGACGACCCTGGGCAGTGCTCTGCTGGTGCTAAGGCTCGCCAGCCGCCAGTCGCACCGACTGCGCCAGGGCATGCTCGCCTGAACTCTGGATCAGGTGTCTGGTGCCTGTGAACCACGGCAGCTGTGCGGGCACGGACTCACGTGCACTCGCGCTCCATGCCGCAGAAGAACTCTGTCAGCTGGCCGTAGTCCTCTCGCACACTGCCCTGCTCGTATGAACACTCGGCGTGGCCGGCCTCCACGCACGTGGCATAGTCCTGCACGCCACGCCAGCGGGTTTAGAGGGACCGGGACCGGGGCCGGGGCCGGGGACCTGAGGCCGGGGTCGGGGAGGCACGCAAGGAGCGATAAATCAAAGCCGGAGGAAGCGAGACTGAACGGGGAGGGCCATCGTGCATCCACCATATGCAAGTATACAAAAACAGGGTTCAATAGAAGAGTGGTGAGACAGTGAGCGAGCCTGAAAATATAATACAGGGAATATACTTGCAAAACGGGAATGGGCTTACAGTATTATACAAGCTGCCTACTTTCCTTCAGAGCACAGTCCTAGCCCTGTCAACAAATTATTGAAG